GTAGTAAGGAAAATGGGTGTCCCTCCCACCTGGGAAGAGACAAAGGAATCACATGGAAAAAGTATCATTACTTATTGTCTCCAGAAGAAAAGAATAGAGAAGATCAAATTACTGAAAAAGTACCTTCCAGGCTAAGTGTGATAGCACATGCCTGTAATTCTAGCAGCTCAGGAGGCTGAGGCAGGAGGATTCCAAGTTGAAGGCCAGCTTCAGCAACTTATCAAGGTCCTAAGCAATTTGGTGTTACCATCTCAAAATAAAAAGAGTTGGGGATGTAGCTCAATGATAAAGCAATGGATCCAATCCCAAATACCAAAACAGGAAAGGAAAATACTTGCCAAAATTGCTGGATATAGGGATTTAGGGAGACATTCCCTATTAAGATTAACTGGTTTGTAAATATCATTTCAAAGAGCAAATCCCATTCCTATCAAAAAGATCAAAATGACAGAGTATGTATTTCATTTTTTTTCAGAAAGCTGACAGGAAAGCATTAAAAATTATAGCAAATACATCAAAACAGTTTATCAAACAGATCTGAATGTGAGATTTTTTCCTGAAATGTTATTTATATCTAAGAACTGACTAGTCCTTGTAGCACTTACCATGTTCTTGATCATGGAGGTTGAATAACAGTACAATGTCTGGAAACTAAAAGGAAATTCTTTTAAATTCAGATTTCAAGAGTAATTTTCCTGCTAGAGCTGCTTACCAGGTTGCTGCTTTACCCAAAGTAAGTATAGTTAAAATGAGTAATGTACACAGTTTCAAATTTCTACATTGTTTTCTGAATATACCAAACTAAGTTAAGTGCTGTGAAAGGAAATTTAAAATAAAGAAAGGATATAGTTCCTGCTTCCCAGGAACTTAAAGTCTTAAAGTAAACATCCCATATTACATGCAGGGGAAAAACATTAAGAAGCCTTATAAGGCATGAACACAACAGAATCAGTACTTAAGTTGTGAGAAAAAGCACAGAAACAGCTGTATTGTCATAATGTTACTTAGAGAACAATAAAATTGAGCCAGGCTTTTAGTTCTGCAATAAAAATTTCATTTGGCTATTGTATAATAAAAAATCCATATCTACTACTAGAAAAATGTTCTCTACTATGGCGTCCATATTTCACCATTCTGGTTTGGTATTCTAATTTCACTAGAAGCTCTTTTCCTATGCTTTTAGCCACACAATATTCCTATAAAGAAGTTTAAGCCTTTACTGACTTAAACTTGTAACTTTCCACTGAACAAAATTTAAGAGTGGCATTTTTATTGCTTTAATTAATTGTTACTTGTAGTGATCATTATCATCAAACTTAGTAAGTTATTGGGTATAGTAAAAGGAGTTCTGAATTTGAAATCACAAGACAAGCATCAAACCTGTGCTATTTACCTTTTTGACTTGGAAACAGTTAATCAGCCTGAACTTCATTGTATGAGTTGAAGATTGTCTATCTAATAGGGTTGCCTATGAGAATCAAATGAGCTAATGTACATGAAAGTGGGGAGCATGGTAACCTGGCCTGCTGTAGGTTCTTGGTGAATATTTCCTCTTCTTTCCTGCTTTGAAAAGTTTATTTTTAAAAATACTGTGTTGCTGTTAGCTTCACATTTTTTGGAAAGTATTACTAAACTCTTTAATTTGTACAAAATAATGAAAACATTGTTTGATTATTTACCTTACAGGGAGCACGCATTGAGATTGAAGCAGTGGCTGTCCAGGGACCTCTCACAACAGCAGGTCTATAAGTGGGCAGTGTTATTCTCATTATGTCTTTAAATTAACATTTTGATTCTTACAATTGATGTTGAAAGTGTACATGTGACTAAAATATCTGTAGTTATCATGGAAATACCATATCATAGAGGGAGTTGACATAAATTGAATATTAGATAATGAATCCAGTTACTGATGCTACCAATTACACATGTGTACACTCATTGCTGAATATGAGAGAAGGGACACTCATTACATAGTCACTCAAGTAAACTAAAGTACAGGGAATAATAACACAGGTAGATGAGTTAATGTTCCTGAAAAACAATAAAGAGCCTAATTCAATTACATTCTATTTAATTAAATGATATGAAGTATTTAGTTCTCATGTTAGATATGTGATTCTGCTTTTACTTGAGTAAAATATTCACTCTTGAGTTGTAGAAGTAAAGGAGAAGAAAATGGACCAAAATTTTATATAGATAATATTTTTCTAATGGAAATAAAATACACATGCAGATTTCCCTACGTGTGATTTTGTTCACTTATTTTGTAACAGTTTAATTTACACATGAAAACATATTTACCAAATAAAAATGGGGAGGGAATCATGAAGTAAATCACCAGCTATTCACTTAAGTTTATTTTTAACTTTGTATATTTTTACACTGTTGTATTCAAGTTATATATAATCACCTTGTGTTTGTTCTTTAAAGTCATTCTTTTTCTTGGGAATGGAGATGAGTCTTGCTGTGTAGTCCAGGCTGACCCTGAACTCCTGGACTCAAGCAGTCCTCCTGCCTCACCCTCCCAAGTAGCTAGGACTACAAACATACAACACTGTTCCTTGGCTTTTTAAAGTCTCTCAACACTCTTAGACAACTATTACATAAATACTTCCCCACTGTAGAATAAATCCCAATTCAGAATTATGCCAAAGAAAAAGGAAAATTTCCCACATTCATTCTCCAGTCTACTTACCTTCCCAAAGAGAATGAACCTCTGTTAAAGAGTTTTTATTCATTAAATACTTGATTATCTGGGGGTTATATTTGTTTGTTTATTTATATAAATAGGACTTTGCTGTACACATTATTCTATAGATCACTTTCTGTCTTAAATATCTTTCCATAAACATATGTATAAATCTTCTGCATTTTTAAAACTATTATAGTGTTCTTTTGTGTGGATATACCTTAGGTGATGTAATGATTCCTCCAAACAATACAGTTTCCAAAATTATCATATTATAGCAGTGCTGCCATAACATTTTTATACATACAAATAATACAAAATTATATGTTAGGTTGTTAAGAGTCATAGGAAACAGTAAAGTTAAAGATTTGGACGATATTGGTTGGGATTATTACACTTTTAAGCTCAGTAAGAAGAAGGCTTCACTGAGGCGACAATGGAGTTAAAAATGTTTGTTGAAATTTATTGAACATTTTTCTGTACCTGTGGTAAAGTTGTTACTATGGTAAAATACAATAATTTTGTGATGTAGAATCCACTGTGCATCCCAACTTAGCTTCAATATATGTATTTATACACACTCACACACACACACACACACACATATATGTATATATATACATATACATACACATATTTTGTGCGGGGGAAGGTTTGTAGTTTATTTGCTACAGTTCTTTGGCACTAGTTTACAAAGCAAAAACAAACAAAAACAATTGGAATAATAATTATTTTTTTTTAAAAACCCTGTCAACAACTTTCAGTCATTTCTACACCCATATTTTTTATACATTCTTAATAGTTTGGATATTTGTTTTTATGTTCATCTGTGAGATTGCCTTTTCACTTCTATACCACATTTTATGGGGCTGGGGGCAATGCTCTTACCTAGCCCATGTGAGGCACTGGGTTCTATCTTCAGCACTGCATATAAATAAATAGATAGATAGATAGATAAATGGAATGACTTTTTTTAAAAAAAAGATTTTGTGGCTGTAAATATCTGTCCTGGAATGCTTGATAGAGTTTGGCTAGAAAACTGGGCTATATGTTTAAACTGATTCAATTCATTTCATGGTAACAGAAACATTCCAATTTTCTGTAGTCAGTTTGGTCATTTAGTGTTGCAGAATTTGCTCATTCCTTCTAAACTTTCATGTTATAGGCACCTTTTAATCCTGCTGTCTCTATTAAACGTGCCTATTTTTCCATCTCTTTTTTTTCCCTTTATCAGTCTCCCAGAAGTTTATCAATTTAAGAACCACTTTTTGGCTTTGTTGATCCTTTTCTATTTTATGTCTCTCTCCTCCCCTCCACTCCCCCTTCTCCCCTCTCCTCTCCTTTCCTCCCCTCTCCCCTCCTCTCTCCCTCTCTCCCTTTCTCTCCCTCTCTTTTTGGTGTTGCTAGAGATTAAAACCAGGGATTTGGGTGTGTGCCAGTCAAGCATTCTCCTCTCCCACTAAGCTATATCCTCAGCCCTTATATTTTATTTTATCATTAATTTCTGCTCTTACATTTTTATTATCTCCAGCTTATTTATAGGACATCTCTTTCTACCTTAACATGAAGATTCTCATATTTGTAAATGATGGAAACTCAACTCAAACTAGTGTAAGAGGAACAAAAAAGGAACTCAGGCTCAGATCACCCAGAATTCCAAGGTATAGCTGACTTCAGACACATGTGGTCCAGAAACCTCATGGTTCTTTCAGTCTCTTGTGGGAAGATGCTGCAGGTCCACACATACAGGCTACCTGTATATTAGCTCCAGCTGAAAGATACCATTTCCTAGTATATCTGGAAAGAGACTCAGGGAAGTCTCTGATTGGTCCAGCTCAAGTCAGGAAAGAGCCATTCCAAAACCAATAATTGTAGTGAAGAAAATTAGACCCAGCCAGGTTGGTTCTAAGAGGAATGGTTGTATATAAGTCATGACTTAAAAATCAAACCCTAGAATGAAAAAGCTAGAAGGAAATAAGGTACCGGCACCCAGGTTAATTAATTTAATGACTGTGTTGGGATTTTTAATCTTCTTTCCACTAAATCAGAACAGAATCATTAGACTTTGTTAAATGTAAAAAATAATAATTGCAGTATGTTGGCCTTTCAAACATAGAGCAAGCTCTTTGAAGTATGAGATGTCTAAATGAGTCACCCATATTTCCTTATTGTTGCCATATTTCTACCTTTGATAGGGTATATATTTTTAAAGTTTGCTGTTTTCTGAAGAACACCATGAGCCAAAAGAAATTTTATATATGTTCCTGTAGTAACAATTAGATAAATATACCAAGATTCAAACACTGTATTATTTCTAATGACATATTTATTCAATCAAAATTATAAATGTTGAAGCAAGAGTACAAAACAATTTTATAAAATTTCCCATAATTGCCCCTAAAGCCAATTATAATTAATTATAAGGAAATTACCTTGATTGTATATGAATAAACAGCATTTGTCATCAACAAATATTTACAGAATGTTGAATTTGTACTAAGTCCTGTAAGAAAAACGAAATATGAGATGCTTTTCCTGCCCTAAAAAGGGCTTACAGTCTTCTCACTTCTACCATGTGTTTAGTAATTGGAAAGCATTAAAAATAATTTCAAAAATCCACTTCAGTGAACTATTCATCAATCCTAAGTCATAAATCATGGTCAGCTAAGCACTAATATACTTAAGAACAGTTTTTTCCTCTATACCACTAATCAAGGTTTACTAATATAGCAACTATAATTGGACCCTTCTCTCTAATTTATTATCTCCAACAAATTCCAATGGGGAAAATCTAGAATTACTGTGCTCATTCAATAGACTTAACATTCTATCAACTATTGTGCCTTGTCTAACTTGTTACAAATTTTGCAATCAAAATAATAATAATAACCCCACATATACATCAACATGCTAACAGTGACGATTTTTGACCTGAATTTTGAACTGAATTACAGGTAATATTTAGATTTCATCTTAAGAAATTCATATTTTCTGAATTTCTACAATGCTTTCATTTTTAGTAAGAAAAATTTTAATAAGCCTTTCCCTGAAATAATTATATAAATAATCACTGTGTCCCATTTAAGTACCTAAACAAAAACAGTGGTTTTTTGTTTTTTGTTATTTTTACCAAAAAGAAAAAGGTTATTTGATTTTGTGGTGCTCAAGATGGAGCCCAGGGGCTTGTGCATGCTTGACAAGTGCTTTACCACTAAGCTACACCTTCAGCCATTTTTTTTTAAGACAGGGTCTCACTAAGTTTCTGAGGCTGACCTCAAACTTTTGGTCTTCCTGCCTCCGCCTCCAGAGTCTCTGGGATTGCCAGGAAGCTGGCCCAAAAAGTTTTTAAATAACTCGGATATCCAGAAAACTTGAAACTCATCCATACTGATCTATTAACTACTAGTTGAAATCAACTACTAGTTTATCCTCTCCTAAAACTGTTAGGGGTATGGTGATGGTTAAAAAAGATAACTTTTGGGCCTGTAACTTCCTAGTGAGGTGCTGGGGCCCAAACTATCTATAAAAATAGCATAGTTGTAATCTCTAACAAGTGATTATGTGCACCAAAAGAACACAAATATAAACCCTAGTAGCATAATCTGACTATGGCCATTCAAGATTCTGATTAGCTAAATGTGAAAAAAAAAATCCTTTAAAAGCAATTCTTAATTCAAGGCCAGGTTTGGGGAAAAAAATTGTTAAGAGTGACGTGTGTGTGTGTGTGTGTGTGTGTGTATGTGTGTTTTGACTGCTCAAAAGTTATTCTCTTTGTTAGAATCTCTTACTCCAAAGTCTAAATGGAAAAAGCAATAAGATCACGGTCCATCACACTTTTTTATTCTGTGGATCCCCAGTGGGTGGCACTTCAAGCCAAGAGTTTGGGATCTGGCCTGAGTATTTTCTAGATTTGCGACTGGCAAAATGTTCATTCCCTATTGGTGATACTAGTTAGAAAATCATTTGTTCACCATTTCCCTCCTAGGTAGGCATAGAAAATAATGAAATTAAAATTAGTAGGACACAAACTGGACTACAAAGTGCCTATTTTACCTAAAATCTAAAAAAACAAAGTTTCTAAAGATGCCTTAGTAGCCACATTAAAGACTATAGACAGAAGTACAGAAAGTACCAAAAATTGCTGGGCAGGGTGGTGCACACCTGTAATCCCAGCAGCTCAGGAGGCTAAGACAGGAGGATCATGAGTTCAAAGCCAGCCTTAGCTACTTAGTGAGGCCCTAAGGAACTTAGTGAGACCCTGTCTCAAAAAACAGACTGGGGATATGGCTCAGTGGTAATCCACCTTGGGTTCAATTCCTGGTACCAAAAAACAAAGAAAGAAAAAAATATATTTGTACAAATTTCCAAAATTTTGAGAATTAGTTGACACACTAATGGGAAAGAATGGAATTAATAAACACTTTGGAAAACTTAGATCTCTTTAAATATTAAAATTTTTTAATAAGTCACCAAAAGAATGGACTTTTATGCCTATTAATCCTCCTATTTCAGTGCTTGATACAAAGAATAATTCCATTTATTAAGGTGATAACTTACATTTTATACTAAGCTCTGACTTTTTTCAAGTTCTATTTCTTTTTTTTAATTTTTTTTAATTGTAGATGGACACAATATTTTTATATGGTGCTGAGGATTGAACCCAGTTCCTAATACATATGAGGCAGGCACTCTACCACTGAGGTACAGCCCCAGCCCCTTAAGTTCTATTTCAACTGATAAATCATAAATATAAATACTCATATTCATAATATGAATAAATGACTTATTCATATATATGCATTCTGTATTGATTGAATCAAGCTAATTAGCATATTTATTATCTCACGTACTTATCAGTCCGTGTTTTTCTACTTACTAAATACATGTATGAAAGTATCTTCTGGTCAGAAAAAAAATATCTTTGAATGAAAACATGTAGCTCAAAAGATAAATTTTATCAGTTCTTGATTAATATAACTTTCTGACCTAAAAATTCAGGTTTTGGAACTACACCAAACATGAAGCTATTCATTTAGCTTGAGCACTTGTGATATGAAAACGAATTTTCCTGTTTCCCAGATAGGATTAGGGTAATATCACACAAATTCATATTTTAAATGTATTATTTTCTTTCTCTTTCTTTCTTTCTTTTTTTTTTTTCATACAAGGGATTGAACTCAGTGGCACTCAGCCACTGACCCACATCCCCAACCCTATTTTGTATTTTATTTAGAGACAGGGTCTCACTGAGTTGCTTAGTGACTTTGTTGCTTTTGCTAAGGCTGGCTTTGAACTCATGATCCTCCTGCCTCAGCATCCTGAGCTGCTGGGATTATAGGCATGAGCCACCACACCCAGCTTAAATGTATTATTTTCTAAATGAATTTAGTATAAATAGGAACCCTTGGTATTATTCATTCATTGAGTCAACAGAAGTGTAGAGTACCATTAAAGGAGCTAAATGCCTGAAATCAAAGACAGATAAAATAGAAATCACAATCTTCTTTATTTTGCAGATAGGATGACATCATCCACTCAAAGAACTCATCTTTTGTCTACCTTTGAACACTTTAAAGTCAGAAGCATAAACTAATACTAAAATCAGAACTAAGATGATATACTCTTCCCTGTATCCTATATTTTTTTTCTTTCTTTTTTTCTTTTTTGGTGGTACTGGGGATTGAACACAGGGCCTTGTGCATGTCAGGCAAGCACTCTACTGACTGAGCTATATCCCCCACCCCTGTATCTTATATTCTTACCACAGGTCCTCTCAGTAGTCATTTTAATATATACACTAAAGTAAGAGTAGTTAATACATCTTAGAAGTTACCTTAAAATATACATATATGTACAAATAATAGAAACCAAATATTTCCAGAATTCTACCAATATTCATAAACACAACGCACTTGGTGGGAAAATTAGCAATCATTATTTATTATTCATGTACAATCATTTACCCTTTCAAACTTTGGAAGAATTCTTGAAAAGTGATTTTCTGTGCTACCTAATGTTTACACTACAAAATATTATAAATATTTTGATTTCTTATCTTCTTTACCCCTAAAACCTAATATTAAGCTGCAGTCATCTAAAAAAGAATAGGGCCCAGGAAGACTCCACATAGCAACAAATCTAGGATTTAATCCTTGGTATTTGTTGTCTCTGAAATATATTAAATGTCAATTAATTTAAAATGCTTTTAATGTTAGTCCAACACCTCACATAAGTGTAAAATCAGCAGCTGATTCAAAATGGCACAAGGAAAATGTGGAGCCTTCCTTGCAAAAAATGACTAATCTTGCGTTAGCACCAAAGCCACATTCCTTTGAAAAGCACTTTATTAACATAATGTATCATGATAAATAAGGCTCTTGGTAGTAGAGAGACAAGGTGAGAAGGTAATGAGATGGCATGCCTCATAAGATTCCTACCAGCTCTAAACTCTATGATAGGACAGAAATACTAGGCTAAGTTTTTCCCATTAATTTTGTGTTGTTCATTTTATTCCATCATAATTGAACTACATGAACTTATAATCATGAATTCTCCTAAAATTTGCTACCTCCTTTCTCCAGCCTTCTGTAGCTACAGGTCTATACCTTATATTTAGGTCCTCTTTTCCGATACTGAATGGACCCATTGCCACAATGAAGATAGTCACCCTCACACTCTTAAATGATCACAAAGCCCTGTTTTTATTGGCTCTGGCTATTATGATTTTAAATGTGTCACTGTCCTAAGTAGCTAAGAAAACCATTCCCAGCTTAGCAGTTTCTTGGAACAACACAGTCAAGAGCGTGGCATCACTGTCATGGTTCCAACAGTCTACCTACAATCACACTCCTTGTGCAAAATATGTAGCTATAGAAAGTTAAGAACCATAAACACACATACACGAAATGATGCACAACTACAAACTGCATCTCTCCACTGAACCAGGCTGTGTCTGTTCACCATTCTGTCGCCATCCCCAGCTCTGTGGCTGCTGAAAGATCCACGGCTTCTCCTGTTTCTTCTTCTTTTGTTTCAGCCCTTTCACTTACATTCTCATTCTCCATCTCTGTTTCCACCTTTTCTCCTGTCTCACCTGGAAAAGTAATCCAAAGAGATAATATGAAACACTCACTTAGCATTAACAACAAATTGCTTCCATAGTTTGTTTCCAATGGGGCAGTTTTTGCTCTTAGGTCTATGCAGAAAGTTTCTTTGGTGGTATCAAGAAAGGCAAGTGTGGCCAATGTCAAGTCCCTGAACATCTTGGTGTCTTGGCATTCTAAATAAAATCAGGATGCAAAATTACCCAAGAAATGGCAATAGAACATACTAGAATGTTTCATCTCTATATAAGTCAAAAGATGGTCCAGGGTTGGCCAAAAATCTGTCTTATTTGACCATTATGGTATTTAAAGAAAACATTCATTAAAGACATAGAGCTTGCTAGCATTTAAAAGTCTAGATATTGCAAATGTAACTCCCTAAAATCAGTTTGGGCAACATTGGCTCCCATTCACAAGCAGCAGCTTCCTGAGGTCCTCTGAGAGTCTCCATGGAATCCTGCAGGCCCCATTTCACTCATTTTCAGCATGGTCACTAATCATTTGTTCACCTTAATTCTGGATCCTCTTACCATATAAAGAGCTTGATGAAAAGTGAGCTTGGACAAATTCAGAAATTTTGACATGTTGCCTTCAAGGGATGATTTTGATTTTTTTTCCAAGCATGGTCTAAAAATATATGTTTTTACTTGCTTCTCCCTTCTGACTCATAGCACTTTTTTTTTTTTTTTGCATTTTTAGTAAAACATCTGCCTCAATAAAGTATAATAATTTGTTTACATTCTGCCTTCCCCCAATAAACTGAGGGTCCCTGAGATCAGGGATTATCTCCTACTCATTCTGCATCCTGAGCACCTAGCATATGCTTAGGCACTCAAAAAATACTCAGTTGGGTCAGAGTGATGGCATACACCTATAATGCCAGCAACTCGGGAGGCTAAGGCAGGAGGATCACAAGTTTAAGACCAGCCTCAGCAACTTAGCAAGCCTGGGTCTCAAAATGACATAAAATATAAAAAGGATTGGGGATGTAGCTCAGTGGTAAAGTGCTCCTGGGTTCAATCCCCAATAGCAAAAAAAAAAAAAAAAAAAAAAAAACCTGAGTTGGGCTGGGGGTATATTTCAGTGATAGACCATTTGCTCAGCGTGTACAAGGTACAAGATTTGTTCCCTAGCACCACAAAAACCTGAGTTAGTAAATTAAAGAATTAAGAAACAGATGGTTATAATTAATGTTTCACTTAATTATACAATACTATGAAGCTAATGTTATCAAAATGTAAATCATGCCTCAGAAAAAAATGTTACTTTTAGTTATAACTCCAACAATATACTCCAAGAACAGCATAAATATCATTTTATGCTGATAAAGCAGATTTAAAATTTTTTAAATACCACATACCAAAACAATATATTTCTTTAGCCTTCTCATAAAGATAAAAAGATAAGGCTGGGGGAATAGCTTAGTGGTAGAATTTTTGCTTAGCATGTGCAAAGCCTTGAGTCCAATCACCAGCCCCAAAAACAAACAAGCAAACAAAAACAGGACAGGAATAGAATGACAATAATTTTCTAAGGATGTGCTTAACCGAGATGAAAATTACATTCTAAAAGCTATATTCTTTGTGTGTTCTTTCATTAGAAGGTAAAATCCTCCACTAATAATTTGTTCACCTTAATTCTGGATCCTCTTACCATGTAGAGAGCCTAATGAAAAGTGAACTTGGACAAATTCAGAAATTTTGACATGTTGCCTTCAAGGGATGATTTTTTTTTTTTTTTTTTTTTTTTTTTTGGTACCAGGAATGGAACCCAGAGGCACTTAACCACTGAGCTACATCCTCTATTTATATTTATTATTTATTTATTAAATAAATAATTTATTTATTAAAGCTACATCCTTTATTTATTTATTTTTTTATTTTGAAACAAGGTCACTCTAAGTTGCTCAGGGCCTTGCTAAATTGCTGAGGCTGGCTTCAACAATCCTCCTGCCTCAGGCTCTCAAGCTGCTGGATTATCGGTGCACACCACAGTATCTGGCCAAGGGACGATTCTATTTAACCATCAGACTCTTAAGTTAAAAATCTCGACACTATAAATAAAGACTATGCTTTAGAAGAGATTTTCTGGAAAGCTGGATTGAGGCTGGATGGAATGCTTGTTTCCCAGGATGGAAGCCTTTTTGGTTTGGGTAATGAACTTCAGCCACCTGAAAAACTTCAGTGACTGTGTGTCAGGCTCCCCCTCCCCCAGTGCTGGTCTATGGAACTCATCTAAATAAACATTCTGAATCTCTAACAGCCTGACTTTACCTTCAGTGTGTTGGTCTGCTTGGTTAGTGTGAATTTTTCCAGCCATTTCCACATTTGCCGCTGTCTCTGGAATTCCTTCTGGTTGCTCCACGCTTCCAACTATTCTTTCAGGTTGAATCTGCTCCATGTTTTCAGGACCGTCAGAAGTTGTGTGGAGTAAGTCGTTCATTACAGGAGTTTGCACAGACTGACTTCTGTACAATATTTCTGATGTTAAATTCTCTTTGGAAATTGTTTCTAGAAGCTGGGATTGCTCCTCATTTCCCACTGTTTCTTGAAATTTCTGTTCTTCATTAGTTTCCACAAACTGACTTCCTTCCAACATTTCTGGAGATTTGTTCTCTTTGGGAATTGCTTCTAGAAATTGGGACTGTTCATCTTTTCCCGTTGCTTCTGGAGGCTGCAGCTCTCCATCTGTTTCCAGAGGCTGAATGTTCTCCATTGTTCCTGGAGGTTGCATCACTGCAACAGTTGGTGGATTCTCAGCATCTTCCCTTGTTCCGGAGGAGTTCCTCTCTCCTGCTGTCCCTGAAGATGGATCCTTGACTTCTGAAAGTTCAGTCTGAGAATTTCCTTTTACAGCCTGAACTTCTGTCATTGTTTCCACATCTTTCTTCTTTTCTTTTGCTCCTGGGGTATCATCTCTGCCACCTAGATGAGGTGCCTCAGATTCCGCAGGTCCTTGGAGAGGCTGAGTCTTCTCTGTAGGTCCTATCTGGTCTATGGCATCCTTTTCAGGGGCTACCTCCTTTGCCAGGGGCCGTTCACGGGATACAACACCATTAGCTGTAGGCACCACTGATGCCTTGGGCTTCTCCAGAGGGGGAAGGCTTTCCCTTTGTATGTTGCCATGAAATATGGATTCTTTTCCTGGTGTGCGGGGTGTGGGTTGGGCAACACAGGACTCACTTTCTTCTGTGGTAGATAAACATTCATTTGAAGTTACTTTTTGATCATTACATTGGGGGGGGGGAGGAAAGAGAAAACACAAAATATTATTTTCGTTTTTGTCTTGAAAAAGTGAACCGATATCAAGAAGTAGATTTAACACTTCAAGACATACCATGACCCTCTCTCCAGGTCAAAGGCCTTTATGTCTTTACCCCAAACACCTCACCTCAAACTTCACCGAGTTTTCTCTTTGCTCATTGTGCACCTTCTCATGGCTCCTATCCCATATTCTAACTTAGCAAAGTCCACTTGTTTCACATGTTCTTTTCTCTGTCCTACCCTTTCTCCTCTTTAGGATTGGGAGGTTTCCCAGTGTGTGACCCTTGGGCTCTTGGGAAGGTCTCACTTTCCTTCTAACAAAGAATGGTCCCCAGTGAATGGAAAATGCTCCATGATGGAGGAAATCTAGTAGGTGAAGGCAATGGTGTCTAGGAAGGGGAGTGACAAGGATTGCTTGACCTGAGTTTCCTGTCATTTTAGGGGCACAATGAGAAGGAAAACAAAGGAAAGTTGGAAACATGCATTTTACTTCCTGTCTCTTCTGGCTCCTTCTGCATCTGTTGTGGCCTTGGGAAAATAATTCCCAGGGATCTCATGGGTGTCTCTCTCCCACCCATCTCAGAGTTGCATGAGAATCGTGTCTCATGAAACACTGGGCGCAAAAGTGCTCTCAACAGTTTACAATAAGCAAATTTGCAATGTGTTTATATCCATTAACCCAGTAATCCTACTTCTAGAAGTTTATCTTAAAAGCTTAAAACTTAGAAAATGCTTCGAGGGAAAAAAAATCTATCATTCAAGTGTTCTTTATAATAGCAAAAGCTGAAAAACATGGGCTGGGGTTGTGGCTCAGTGGCAGAGCGCTTACCTAGCATGTGTGAGGCACTTGGGTTCGATCCTCAGCACCACATATAAATAAATTAAAAATAAAGGTACATCAACAACTAAAAAACATTTAAAAAAAGAAAGCTGAAAAACAACTTAAAAGTCTAACAAGTTGGGGGGTACAGATAAATAGTATACTAAATGAAATACTATACCATGAATAGATGATTATAAAGACCATAAGCTTAAATAAGAAAATAATTATGACATGTCTTAAAAATTGGCACTTGTAGTTGGGTTGACCAAATGAAACAGTGCATATAAAGCATTTATTAGCCTGAAGTCTGCAGTTCATCTAAGAGCTCAGTAAGCGAGTTACCAGTTTTAAATATAGTATGATTACAGTGATCAAAAGGAAGGCAGTGAGGGAAGGAGAAGGAGAGGAAAAATAAATCACAAATGGAGTGTGGAAAGACTGGGAAAAAAGAAACCAAATGTTAAAATGGGTCTCTAGGTGATATTTTCTTCTTCTTTTTTTCCCCAAGAGGTTTTTTTTTTCTTCCTTTTTTCTTTTTACCACCACAATTATATAAACATATAGTTTAAAAAGTTATCTGCTGATCCAATGTTAACTCCTCTCCCATTTCCCCTTCTCTAGGGGCAAATATTTTAATTCTCTTAGCTGTTTTAGAGAGATATATATATCTCCCTAATGAGCTTAAATTTTACCCTAAAAGCATGAAGAACAAGAATTATGAACAAGGGGCTGAGCTGTGGCTCAGTGGTAGCGCACTTGCCTGGCATGTGTGAGGCACTGGGTTCAATTCTCAGCACCGCATATAAATACATAAATAAAATAAAGGTCTATCAACAACTAAAAAATATTTAAAAAAAGAATTGTGAACAAGCAGGAAATAATACCAAGAATTAATAAATGGGATGGTATCAAATAAAAAAGATTTTTCAACTGCAAAGGAAACAAGAGCATGAAGTGAGAGCCTATGGAATGGGAGAAAAATCTTTGCCAGTTACTCTTCTGACAGAATATACCAAAAAAACTCAAAAAACTTACCACAAGAAAATAATAACCAGGCTAGGGTTGTAGCTCAGTGGTAGCGCACTTGCCTAGCATGTGTAGGGCCCTGGGTGCAATTCTCAGCATCACATATAAATAAAGTATAATAAACATCCATCAACAACTAAAAAAGTATTTAAAAAAAAAACAATAATAGGGGCTGGGGATGTGGCTCAAGCGGTAGCGCGCTCGCCTTGTGTGCGTGCGGCCCGGGTTCGATCCTCAGCACCACATACAAACAAAGATGTTGTGTCCGCCAAGAACTAAAAAATAAATATTAAAAAATTCTCTCTCTCTCTCTCTCTCTCTCTCTCCCCCACTCTCTCTTAAAAAAAAAAAAAAGCAATAATAATAACCCAATCAGTAAATGAGCAAATGAACTAAACAGACACTTCTCAGAAGAAGAAATACAAACCAGGCTCAGTGGCACCCACCTGTAATCCCAGCAGCTCGGGAGGCTGAGACAGGAGGATCATGAGTTCAAAACCCAGCACAGAGCAAAAAGTGAGATGCTAAGCAACTCAGTGAGACCCTGTCTCTGAATAAAATGCAAAATAGGGCTGGGGATGTGGCACAGTGGTTAAGTGCCCCTGAGTTCAGTTGCTGGTACCAAAAAAAAAAAAAAAAAAAAGAAGAAGGAAAAAGAAATACAAATGGCCAACAAATATATGAAAAAATGTTCATCATCTTTAGCAATCAGGGAAATGCAAAGCAAAGCTACACTGAGATTTCATTTCGTTCCAGGTAGAATGGCCACTGTCAAGAATACAAATAACAATAAATGCTGGAGAGGATTAGGGAAAAGGAAACACTACGACACTGTTGGTGGGATTGTAAATTTGTACAACCACTGTGGAAATCAGTATGGTGCTTCCTCAGAAGCCCAGTAATAGAACCACCATATGACCCAGCTATACCTCTCCTCAGTATTTATCCTAAAGAATTAAAGTCAGCCAACTACAGTGATACCTGCATACCCACGTTTATAGCAGCACAATTCACAATAGCCAAATTATAGAACCAGCCCAGGTATCTGTCAATGAATGAATAGATAAAGAAAATGTGGCATATATACACACTGGGGTTTTATTCACCACAAAAAGAATGAAATTATGTTATTTGCAGGAAAATGGATGGAACTTGAGAACATTATGTTAAGTAAAATAAGCCAGACTCAGAAAGTTAAGGATTGTATATTTTCTCTTATATATGAAAGCTACAGAGAAGAAGGGGGGGAGGGGGGAGGAAATCTCATGAAATGAGAAGGGGGACCAGGGGGAGGGAGGAGGGGGAAGGAGGGGGGACATACCGGGGAATATAGTACATTAAATTGTGTTGTTTGTGTGTACAAATAACGTCACAATGAATCCCACTATTATGTACAATTATAACGCACCAATAAAAATTAATTAAATAAAAAGAAAAGAAGATTACATTAAAATCCTTCAGTCTGATATTTATCTGAAAAAATAAATTGTGAGTAGGGTTTTGTTAAGCAATTAAATCAATACACATGCCCAGGACTGAGGTTTAGTTTAGTCACTGAAGAGCACATGTGCTTAGCATGTGCAAATCCCTGGGTTCAATCCCCAGCACCAAATTTTACACACCACACACATAACTATATAGTTCAACCATTTTATTCCCTAGACATTTTCCCATGAGAAAAGAAAACATGCATCTGTACAAAGACTTGTTCACAAAAGTTTGTAGCAGCTTAATTTGTAATAACCCGAAACTGGAAACAACCTAGATTTACATCAACAGATGAATAAAGAAACTGATTGAGGTATATCCACACAATGGAATACTACACAACAATAAAAAAGAAACGGCCCATTGATAAGTGCAACAACATAAATGCTTTTCAAAATAATTATGCTGAGTAAAAGAAGATGGAAAGATTACATACTATATGATCCCATTTTATAAACTAGAAAGTGCCAACTTATCTAATAGTGACAGAAAGCAAAACAGTGTCTGGGGACTGGGATTGGGATGCGCCAGAATGGATTTCAAAGGAACATAAGGAAATGTTGGCAGTTAACGTTCAATATTTGGATTGGGTTGATGCTTCCATGGGTACACACATAAGTCTTGGTACAAACTTACTAAAATGTGCTGTCACATCTCACAACTAAACACTCAAGGTCACTCCAGGTGAACTGGGTTGCATGAAATAATCACAGAGACAGAGAAATACCTTTTTCTTTGGGTCCTGTGACGGCTCCTCCAATATTAGGGGTCCGTGGAAAGAGAGAGAGAGAGCACGTGCTGACCCCTTTTATTGAGGAGAAGCCATTCAAATGAAGCAAGGGATTAGGTTTCAGGTGGTTGAATCTAGCTTCCTGATGTCTGCTGTCGCAGATTGAGTGACATCTAGGGAGGCCATTCCCATTTCCTGAGCTGTGTGGGGATCATGGCAGAGCAAGTAAAAAGACCAGAGCCAGGCCCACCCAAACAGAGGGGCAAATCTGTGCACTCAGTGCCCATAGTTCACACACACACACAGCCCATGGCTGGATTTTGCCACATCTCCACGTTCTCATCCCTCCTGGCTAAGGGGTGCTCGGTTCCTATGTGCTCCGTAAATATGTGCTGTTCACTGTATATCAACTATACCTCCCCTGAACTGCTTATTTTTAATATAAAAATAAATAAAATGAAAAAAAGAATCCTGAGTAGGGGAGAGAATTGATCTGATTTGGATTTTTAAAACCTCCCTCTTTGGGGACTGGGATTATAGCTCAGGGTACAGAGTGTGCTTAGCAAGCTAGGGGCTCAATCCCTAGCACCAAAAAGACATGCATCCATCCACACATACTCCTGAAGAATGAATCAGAGATGGGCAGCACGAATCTCAAGGTTACCAGTAACTTCTGAGAGAAAATAGTTATGAGAGGTAAAAATGACTGAACATAATGACTGATCCAGGGGGTGAGGGAAAGGAGGAAGAAGGAGGATCTTGGGTAACACTGGCCCAAAGCTTGGCTGCTGGAAACAGAAGACAAGGATGAAAGAACCTGGGCTGTAGAGAGGCATGGCTTGTCTCGGGGCATGGTGTGTCAGGGATGGGCTGTGCATCCTAGTGGCA